GCCTGATCACTGGAGATCAGGAGTTTGAGACCAGCCTAGCCAACATGGTGAAATCCTGACCCTACTAGAAATACAAAAATTAGCCAGGCATGGTGGCAGATGCCAGTAATCCCAGCTACTCAGGAGGCTCAGCCATGAAAATCACCTGGACCGGGGAGGTGGAGGTTGCAATGAGCTGAGATGGCACCACTGCACTCCAGGCTGGGCAACAGAGTGAGACTCTGTCTCAAAAAAAAAAAAAAAATGTATTAGGTCAGTCACAATGGCTCATGCCTGTAATCGCAGCACTTCAGGAGGCTTAGGTGGGCAGATCATAAGGTCAGGAGTTCGAGACCAGCCTGGCCAACATGGTGAAACCCCGTCTCTACTAAAAATACAAAAATTAGCTGGGCATGGTGAAGGGCGCCTGTGTTGGCAGCTATTCGGGAGACTGAGGCAGGAGAATCACTTGAACCCGGGAGGCAGAGATTGCAGTGAGCTGAGACCGCACCACTACACTCCAGCCTGGGCAACAGAGCAAGACTCCATCTCAGAAAAACAAAACAAGGATTAGAGGTAATGTGTTCTATGGAGAAGAGGTGCAGCAGGAGCAAGGAACGGCAGAGGGGAGTGAGGAGGGGCTATTTTAAATAGGGTGGTCCAGGAAGGCCTCACTGATAGGTGACATCTGAGCAGAGACTGAAGGAAGTGAGAGGCGGGCCATGTAAATACATGGAGTGAAGGCTCGCAGGCAGGGGCAGCAAGTGCAAAGGCCCTGAGGCAGGACTGAGGGTGACATGGTGGGACGTAGAGCTGCTGGACCGCACTGGGCCCTGTAGTCCTTGCGGAGGGCTTTGCCTTTTACTTTGAGTGAGAGAGGTGCCTGCTGAGGGCTCTGAGCAGAGGAAAAACCTGGTCTGTCTTATGCTTTAGAGGGATCATTCTGGCTGCAGCAGTGACAAAGACTGTAGTGGGGGGGAGCAGAGGCAGGGAGAGCAGGGAGGAGGCCACTGCAGGATCCAGGCAAGAGCGTGTGGTGCTGGGCCAGGGGGCAGTTTGATTCTGAACATATTCCAAAGTAGAGCCAACAGGGTCCGGTGTTGGATGGGACCGTGGGGGAAGCCATCAAGGATGACTCCAGGTTTGGGCCTGAGCGAAAGGAGGGATGGCAAGGCCATGGGCAGCTGAGGAACATGGCGGGAGGAGCAAGTTTCGGGGAGAAGATTGGGGGTTTGGCTTTGGGTGTGTTGAATTTGAGACGGAGAAAGAGGAGTGGACACTTGGAGAAGAGAGTCTGGAGTTGGAGTCTGAGGTCCGGGCTGAGATGTACCTTTGGGAGTCGTCAGCAGAGAGAAGTTTAAAGCCTCAGGACTGAAGGAGATACTGGGGGTGAGGGTGGGTGGAGAAGGGGGCATCCCCGGGGCTCTCCAATGTTGAGAAAGGGGAGGAGGAAGGGGCCAGGGAGGGCAGGGGAGAGGCAGGCGTGGGAAGCTGAGTCAGATGCTGCTGAGAGGCTGAGAAATGGCAGCCGTGATCGCTGCTGTAAGGTCAGAGATGATGAGTCAGGAATAATAATTTCAAAAGATACAGAGCAGTTACCCTGGCCCAAGCATCCTGTTGAGCACTTTGCAAGCTTTATCTCTAGGATCTTCACAGCAGCTCCATGAATCCAGAAACCCGGAGCATAGAAGCTAGAGTGACAGAAGGAGCAGAGGGAGGCTTGGGCATCCAGGGAGGACCCTGTGGGCGGAGACCTAAGGCCCAGGCAGGGAGACCAGGAGGCTCTGAGGGAAGGTGGGATGGGGTGGTGGGGGGCAGATGGAGGAGAGTTTCCAAACAGGACAGGTTTCCCTCCCAGCTCTGAGCTCACTGATGCTGGTAATGCCAGGACTGAGAGTCATGATGCTTGACTCCCTCAGCTCCATCAGTCACATCCTGTCCTTCTCTTCCTTCCCCATATCTGGCTTGGCCTTCACTCCAACACATCCTCAGCAGCCACAGCCACACAGCCCTGGAAACTCCTGGGTGGTCCTGAGAGGTAAGGGAGGGGAGCGTGGGAGCTGCTGGGCCTGCAGATAGCCGCACTGAGATAGTGATCATCAGGAAGAATCCTTGAGGCATTTGATAACAGAGTGGAAAGCAAGATGGCAGTATTTAGAGTCAGACCGACTTGGTTGGAATCTCGCACCTGCCACTAAACTAGTTGTGTGACCTCAAACAAGTCTCTTTTCTGGGCTTCAGTTTCACCATCTGTAAAGAGGGTTGGGTGTTTTTTTTTTTTTTTTTTTTCTCCTTCATCAGTAGTTTTATCTTGAAATAATTTTAGATTATAAAAGTGTCGCAAAGATAGTACGGGAGTTCCCAGATGCCCTTCACCCAGCTTTCCCTGATGTTACATAACCGCAATACGTTCATCAAGACTAAGAATCAGCACTGGAACACCGTTAGTACCTAAAGTCCACACTTTATTCCCATTTCCCCCGTTTTCCCACTAATATCCTATTTCTCTTCCAGGAGCCAATCCAGGACCCCACGCTGTGCGGAGGGCTTTTGTTCGTTTTAAATAGACTCTATTTTTAAAGCAGCTTTAGGTTCACAGCAAAATTGCAGGAAAGCTGCAGGGATTTCCCCATCCCCCTCCTCCCAATGCCTCCGTCTCTATCGCCAGTGCCCTCAGCAGAGTGGCACATTTGTTACAATTTATGACCTAAACTAACATGTTGTTATCACATATTCTTTTATTCCCTTGGAATTTGTCAAATCACAAAAATTAAAAGAAACACCATCCGTGACCCCATCCCTCAGCTCTCCCTTCTGCTGGGCTGCACCTTGAGAGGGCTTGCCCTGGGGGGTGGCTATGATACCTTCCAGCAGCTCCAGGCAATTTAGCAATCCCTGTGAAGGAGGGCTCCTCTTCCCCTATATTCCAGTACAGCTCCCAAGCCTGATACTCACCGGCCCAGCTCACTCACACGCCCCCTCTGCGTGGATCACTCAGTGTCTCTGCCTGGGTCCCATGGCCACACTTGAAGTCTGGAAGGATGAGTCAGCCCTGGATGACCCACACAGACTTGGATTTAAGAGGAGGTGGTTCTGTGAAGGAAAGCAGGGTGCTGTTACAGGTGCAGGGCAGACTCAGGCAATGGGTGTCCCCTACTCCCACTGGTGGGCTGTGTGGTCAGTAGGTAATAAGACGGAGCATGCGAGTCGCCAAGGGTGTGTTCTGGCCCACGGGAAGTGCCTCCCAGAGGTCAGCCACCGCCATTCACAAGAAAGCTAGAACAGGAGGTAACGCTGCTGGGTCATGGCCTTTGGCTGCAGTAGGAGGGAATGAGGACAAACGAGAAACTTCCTGAGTAAACAGAGGCAAGGCTCCATGGGCGAGAGCTCAAATTCCAGGGTGGCGAATTCAGTATCTCTTATGGCTGTGTGCATGCACACGCACGCTCACACTCACATCTGTGCAGTTGGGTGGAAGGTGGTCTTGGTCACCTCCTTAACTTGCCACAGCTTTTTCCTGCAAGCAGAGATAGCCAGGCACCCATGTGTTCCACTCCTGCTTGGTAATTAGTGAGTGGTGGCACCCATCTGACCATCTGGGCCAGATAAAATGGCCTTGGCACTGAGCTAACCCAGTGCTGAATTATTTATCACCTGCATTCGCTTGGCTATTTAAGTGATGGACAGCAAGTGACCTTGCTGTCTCAGCTGGACCTGAGGTGCTGGCAGAACTCTCAGAAAGGGCCCGAGCCCCCCCCCCCCCCACCGACTTGTTCTCAAATTCAGGGTAGGGGCCGGTGGGAAAGGGGTAACCACTTCTGAGCACCTACTCTGGCCGCAGCACATGTGGGATCGCTTCAGCCTCACTGGACCCTTGCGGTCACCCAGGAGATGGCAGTGTTACCCCCAGTGTTGAGACCCAAAGGGGGATGTGACCTGCCCACAGTCACAGAAAGTGGGGAGCTGGGATTTGAAGCCACTTCTGTCTGGTCTCAGTCCAGGGATTTTCCAACCCACCTCCCAGGCTGTCTTAGGGCTCCACCCCTGGTCTAAAGGGACACAGATGTTTATTTGACAAATACCAGTGAGCCTCCATTACATGGTGGGCAGTGGGTAGCCACCAGGGAGTGCTTCGTTTTCCTTTTCAGTCAAAGGCCTAATAATGGCGCCTGCGCGATGGAAGTGTTGAGCGGAGGAGTGTGGGGCCTCATGGCCTCATGGGCACTAAAGAAGACAAAATCTGTCTCACCATCATTGATGCCTGGGTGCATTGCTTTCCAGCCTTTCCCCGTATGCTTTTCTTCTGTGGTTAAGCTCATGCAGCTGTTTTAATCTAACCTTCTATTTGGTTTAATATTGTAACATGAACATTTCTCATTACATTGTACATCACTATAGAAATCATTTGGATACAGCCTGGGAAACACAGTGAGTCCTTATCTTTACAAAAAAAATAGATTAGCCAGGCATGGTGGTGCATGTTTGTAGTCTCAGCTACTTGGGAGGTTGAGGTAGGAGGAGCACTTGAGCCCAGGAGGTGGAGGCTGCAGTGAGCCATGATCACGCCACTGCACTCCAGCCTAGGGGTCTTCTGTTTCATTTAAAATTAATGTGTCCGTTTAAAAATGCTGAACAGTGTGAAAGGGTATTTGCAAGGAAAGTCAGTCTCCTTCCGCCCTATGCTCTTGTCTTCCCAGGTTCTGTTCCAAGGCAACCTCAGTTACCAGTTTCTGGTGTCTCTTAGAGGTCTGTATTTGGGAGGCTGTGGCAGGAGGATTGCTCGAGGCCAGGAGGAGTTTGAGATCAGCCTGGGCTACATAGGGAGACCCCCATCTCTACCAAACAAAAACAAACTTAGTCGGGTATCACTTGCCTGTGGCCCCAGCTCCTTGGGAGGCTAAGGCAGGAGGATCACTTGAGCCTAGGAGGTCAAGGCTACAGTGAGCTATGATTGTGCCACTGAATTCCAGCCTGAGTGACAGAGCGCGACCCTATCTCAAAAAAAAAGCAATGGTCTGTGCTTCTTCATGTATGTTTCTCTTTAAACAAACACACAAATGGCAGCATGCTGAGCCGCCACCCTGCACCTTGCTGGGTTCACATGCTTCTGTGTGTCTTGGTTTCAGTCTCACATCAGTACACACAGAGCCAGCGTCTTCCTAATGACTTCAGGCATCATCAGCTCATGGATGGATCTTCATTCATCTCATTGGCCCCCTCTTGATAGACATGGAGGTGGCTTCCAGCTTTTTGCTGTTATATGAGCACTGCAATCATTATCTTCGTGCATATGTCCTTTTGCCCATGTGCGATTATGTCTGTAATGAAATTACTGGGTAAACATGATATTTGATGATGATTTAATATTCCATTATTATGATTGAATAGGATAGTCAGGGCAGACAAAAACCTTATCCCAAATTGAAATTAGTTGGCATTCCACCCATCTCTGGATCACTAAAGGGTGCCATGTACACATTTTAGCCACATACCAAAGAGCTGAGGTTAAAATGTGTATGAAAATATTCAGCTAAGACTGAAAGCTTGAAGCAAGAAATTCCATTTTCCTAAGTGTTTACCTGTTAAGAAGTTTAAATAATTTTTATTCATAGCTTTCACAGTCATCAATGATGATGGCAGCTTTGTTTTATACATACACAACACACACATTTATTCAAGTGACTATAGAATTTAAACATACAAAGCATATAAGGAACTTTTGAATCCCAGACTACATCGAGAATGATTGTATTTGGAAGCAAATCTTTAGATATCGCACCAGTTAGCTATTGTTGCATAACAAACATCCACAACTCAGTGGCATATACCTATCAGCATTTATTTAACTCACAGGCCTGTGGGTCTGGCTCAATGGGGCAGCTCAGCTCTGTCCACGAGTCTCTCATCCTCCTCTTGGAATCACTGGGCTTGCCAGGCAAGTGGAAACACACAGTCTCTCACGGCTTAGGTGTAGAGTGGGTGTTCTGTCAATTCCGCCTCTTCTATTGGACAAAGTAAGTCCATAGCTGAGCCTAAATTCAAAGGGCAGGGGAAAGACACTCTTGCTCTTTAATGGGAGGAACAGCGAAGTCACATGGTAAGGAGCATAGATTCTGGGATTGGTGAAGAGTTGGGGCCAACAACGTGATCATTCCCAGATGTCAACGGTCTTAACTGGGACAGCCTGTTCCTATTACTGACACCGTCTTGCTGATTAGCTATGAAGATGACCTGTGTGACCCAGGATTCATGACTTTGCTCACAGGCAGGGATGCCACGAGTGGGCTTAAAGTCGGTATTTTGGGCCACGGAGCAGTTTTGGACACGTCCTGAGGCTGGAGATAGACACTGGCCATGCTCAGGTATTTGGCAGCAGTGGGAGCCCAGGCCTACTGGCCCCTCTGTCTTGGCCTGGGCTGTGTCCCCGGCAGAGACGAGTCAGCTCTGCCCTCACAGTGGCATAACAGGGGCCCTTCTCCTTGCAGGGGAATATGGGCCCTGCTGCCTTCTGGCTCCTGCTCTTCCTTCTCAAGAATCCTGAAGCCCTGGCTGCTGTCCGCGGTGAGCTCGAGAGTATCCTTTGGCCAGCAGAGCAGCCTGTCTCACAGATGACCACCCTCCCACAGAAGGTTCTAGACAGCACACCTGTGCTTGGTGAGATGGTCAGACCCTCCAAGATAGCCCCTAAGACTGCATCATCATGGACCCCAAAACTCTCCCCAACATGGGTTCCTGTCTTCCATGGTCCATCAGTGTCCCAACCTAGGGTCTCCCTGAGCCTCCTATCTTTACACACCTGCCATCTCCATACTCCAGTCTCAGCTAGGAGGCACAGGACGGAAAACCTAACTTCAATTGGCTGGGGTGAAAAGACATTTTGAGAAATGTCACTAAAAAGTCCAGAGGACTGGCCTGAGGCACAGGTAGACCCAGGCACTTTAACAATGTCATCAGGACCACTCAGTTCCTCTCCACCTCTCAGCCCTGTTTCCCACTGTTTCCTGCAGTCTCAGGCTGGCAGTAGCTATTGGCAGCTCAAGACTGACTTCCTCGTGTCTCTGTGAGATTCTGTATCTCTTACAATGGTCCCATTAAGAATCCTAAGACTGTGTTTCATTGGCTTTCTTTGGGTCATGTATCCACCCTGAACCAGTCCCAGGGCTCAGAGGGATGCTCTGATTGGCCAGTCACAGCCCCATCCCAGTAGTTGAGCACAGAATCAGCAGTCTAACCCCTGAGAGTGAGAGCGGGTGGACCCTAGAGGAAAATCAGGGGCCCGTTTCCAGAAGAGAAATATATGCCGGGCAGGCAGAAACAGAGCTCGATGGCCCCACTCTCTCCCCAGCCTTCTGATACCTTCCTAGTTCCTACTTTCCCTCACAACTTCTCCTGGGGTCTCTCCCTCATCAAGGGTCTCTGAAGGACCACAGAGACAATATTTCATCAATTTGGCCTTTTCCACCTTGCTGTGTGACTGTAGGCAAGGCAGGCACCCTCTCTGAGCCTTTTCATCTTCCTCTGTAAAATAAGAGCTGGGGGTGGCATATGAGCAGGTGAAGGGACAGCCTGCTGACCCTTCCTTGCACCTGTTCCATGCAGACAGCGTGCTGAGTGAGAGCCTCAGGCTTACGGCTGCTCCCTTCATCACCCGTGAGGTCGTGGTGGACCTGGCCATGCCCATGGCAGACGGGCGAGAATTCAACCTGCGACGTGGTGACCGCCTCCTCCTCTTCCCCTTCCTGAGCCCCCAGAGAGACCCGGAAATCTACACAGACCCAGAGGTAAATGCCAGGGGTGCCTGGTCATATGGAGTCTGTGGGAGAAAAATCAATGATTTTGGGATGAGCCAGATCCGAGTGGCAGCCTGCCTCTGCTCCTTGTTTGCTATGCGACATTGCCCAGATTGCTTTACCTCTCTGTGTTTGCTTCCTCACCTGTGAAATGGACCTTATAATAGCACCTGCCTCATGAGGTAGAAAGGAAGATGAAATGGGATCATGCAGAAGCAGATACTGATGGCCCCCCTCTCTCCCCAGCCTTCTGATACCTCTCTGGCTCCTACCTTTTTTCACAGCTTCTCTTCGAGTTAGACCCAGATCCCCTCATGTTCAAGGGTCTCTGAGGAACCCTTGAACATGAGGGGATGTTCATTCACACTGAGTGCTTTGTGATAGCTGAGCCATTTTCCTTATTTCAGAACGTTATAAGGTCAGTTTCCCAACACTTCCCTCTCCCCAGACTTTGAGATGAAGCAGACTTTCACAATTGCTAACAGATTGTGTTCTTACTGTGTGTCAGACTCTAAACTACATGCTCATCCATCCATTCATTCATCTGTCTACCCATCTACTCATGCACCCATCTATCCATTTATCCATCCATCTATACACTCACCTATTTACCTATCCAATCATCTATCCATCCATCCACCCACCAATTTACCCTTTCATTCACCCATCTACCCATTCGTTTATCCATCCAGCACCCATCTACTCATCTATCCATCCATCCACCCATCTACCCATATATCCATCTATCCATTCATCCATCCACAAACTCACCCATCCATCCATTAATCTATCCATCCACCCAACCACCCATCTATCCATTCTTCTACCCATCCACCCATCCATCCATCCATTCACCTACCAAGCTACCCTTTTATCCACCCACATACCTGTGAATTCATCCATCTATCCATCTGTCCATTCATCTATCTACTCATTTATCCATCCACCCACCCATTTATGTACCCTCTCACTCATATATTCATCCACCCATTCTTCTACTTATCCACCCATCCATCTATCTATCCACCTATCTACTCATCCTTCCATCCATTTGTCCATTCATCCATTCATCCACCCATCCATCAGTCTACCCATTCATTCATCCATATATCCATCCATCCACCCCATCTACCCATCCATTCATCCATCCCTCCATTCATCCATTGTTCCATCCACATTTCCATCTCTTAGTCTATCCACTGGTCCATTCACCTATCCTTCCACCCATCTTTCAGTCAGCAGCTACTCCATGCCAAGCCATGTGCTCAGGTACAACCCTTGCCTTACCACTGTGCAATATAATGAAAGGAAACTGGCATTTTCTTTTTTAAAAATTATTTAAATTTCTTTTATTTTACATTATGAAAGTAATATATACTTATCATGAAGTATAAAGAAATATGGAGAAATACATACTTAAAAGTAAAAAATATATATTTCCCTTCTTCTCCAGTTCTACAGAGTTCTCTAACTGTGGTTTGGAGTGTGCCTTGCGAATTGTTTTCATGGCTTTACAGGCATACACAGAGCACATTCACACGCCACGAAAAGATCAGTGTGTATAGGATCTTACAGTGTATACTATTCTAAAACTTGCTTTTTTCTCTCAACAACCAATTGTAAAAATTCTTTCCATGTCAGTACACACAGATCTTTCGCCATAATTTTTTAACCAATCTCCTGTCAATTGACCTGTATATGGTTTCCAGTTTTTCCCTCTTACAAACATGACTGTCATGACCATCCTCATATATTTTTCTTGGTGCAGTCTTGTTCTGGGAGTGGGGTCAGAAATGGACCTTTTTCCTCTTTCAGGTATTTAAATACAACCGATTCCTGAACCCTGACGGATCAGAGAAGAAAGACTTTTACAAGGATGGGAAACGGCTGAAGAATTACAACATGCCGTGGGGGGCGGGGCACAATCACTGCCTAGGGAGGAGTTACGCAGTCAACAGCATCAAACAGTACGTGGAGGGCCAGGGTGGGGCTAGGGTGGCTCCTGACCGCCGGGTTGGCACGCGCCCTTCTCTCCTGGGACTGAGGGGTCAGCCAGGAGAATGGTTTGGCAGAAGCTCCACACGGACAGCCTGTGAGCCATCATTTATTTGTGGTTTTTCAACTATGCGCTTTTAAAAATCAGAAGAGCTTACTTTTCAAAGCCAGATTTCAGGCCCCGGGCGCAGTGGCTCACGCCTGAAATCCCAACACTTTGGGCAGCTGAGGTGGGCAGGTCAGGAGTTCAAGACCAGCTTAGCCAATATGGTGAAACCCTGTCTCTACTAAATAATACAAAAATTGGCTGGGTGTGGTCGTGGGCATATGGAGTTCCAGCTACTTGGGAGATTGAGGCAGGAGAATCACTTGAACCCCGGAAGCAGAGGTTGCAGTAAGCCAAGATCATGCCACTGCACTCCAGCCTGGGCGACAGAGTGAGATTCCGTCTCAAAAAAAAAAAAAAAAAAAAAAGCCAGATTTTGGATTTCTTTTGAAATAATCAGATCTGGCAGCAGGTTCTTCTCTCCAAGACTGGTGTCCAAATTCCAGATACTGGACATTCCTTTCAGCTGACCGTAGCTGTCCGTCTGCAGCTGCTGCTGCGTGTTCAGAACCTCGTGTTCAGAACTGATCGAACTTCACTGTTCCCGCTTGGTTATTTTAATGCCTGTGGGGGCCAAGAGCCTCATAAATTTTCTCCCCTGAACTCCAGGAGCCTTGGCCACCAAGTTCACAGACAGATTGGACCAGGGTTATGACATCTACCCTGTCCTCCTGTCCAGCCCCTGTGCAATCATAAGCTGGGTGACCTTCTGAGCCTCTGTTTCCTCAACTGTAAAACAAGGGTTCTGATTATAACTGCACCCCAGGGGTATCAGGATAAATGAATTGGATCTTTCTAAGTTCTTAGCCCACTGCCTGGCTCATTGTAGGCATTTGATAAATGTTAATTATTATCATAATAATAATTATTATTAATGTGCATGCATTATGCTAAGTGAATGGGCACATTACATTAACCTTTGGCCTCAGTTTCCTCAAGAAAATGGAGTTGATTATGAGCATAATACAGTTCATATGCATTCCTAAAAACCACTTTGCTGTATGAAATCATGCAACAAAAACTGCAAGGATTTATGCCTGTAATCCCAGGGCTTTAGGAGGCCAAAGTGGGCAGATCATTTGAAGTCAGGAGTTTGAGACCAGCCTGGCCAGCATGATGAAACCCCATCTCTACTAAAAATACAAAAATTAGCCAGGCGTGGTGGAGCATGTCTGTAATCCC